AACTAATTTTCACTTTGTACGAAGAGCTGAAAAGACATATAATAAATTTACATGTTCTAATCAACCTATTTATACTTTACAGATGTACTAAAGACTAATTAAGATCTGATGTTAGCTGAGCAACTTAATAACTTAAATTATTAACACTTCTGTTTAGATGCATAATTTATAATTGGAAAAAATAGTTTAGTAATCATAGAATAGTTTGGGTTGGAAAGGAAATTTTCAGGTCATATAGTCCAACCCCCCTGTAGTGAGCAGGGACATCTTCAACTAGAACAGGTTGCTCAGAGCCCCGTCCAACCTGACCTTGAATGTTTCCAGGGATGGGGCATCTACCACCTCCCTGGGCAACCTGCTCCAGTGCCTCACCACCCTCATAATGAAGATTTTTTTCCTTATGTCTAATCTAAATCTACTCTCTTTCAGTTTAAAGCCATTACCCCTTGTCCTATCACTAATGCTCTTGTGAAAATTCCCTCTCCAACATTCAGGTACTGGAAGGCTGCTACAAGATCCCCCTGGAGCCTTCTCTTCTTCAAGCTGAACAACCCCAACTCTCTCAGCCTGTCCTCATACGGGAGGTGCTCCAGCCTCTGACCATCTTTGTGGCCTCCTCTGGACTCACTCCAACAGGTCCATGTCCTTCTTGTGTTGGGGGCCCCAGAGCTGGCTGCAGCACTGCAGGTGGGGTCTCATGAGAGCAGAGTAGAGGGGGACAATCCCCTCCCTCGACTTGCTGGTCACGCTGCTTTTGTTGCAGCCCAGGATGTGGTTGGCCTTCTGGCTGCAAGCACACATTGCTGCTTCACATCCACCTTTTCATCTACCAACACCCCCAAGTCCTTCTCCGCAGGGCTGCTCTCAATGCTTTCATCCCCCAGCCTGTATTGGGACTGGGGATTGCCCCGACCCATGTGCAGGACCTTGCACTTGGCCGAATCCAGTTTGAATGCAGTAATGCAGTTCAAATTTTAGCTGCAGTGTGTGTGTCTGTGCTTTGTTGCTATCCATTTTAAAAAGGAGCTTTGATAACTGTGATTAATCTATGGCCCTGCATTAAAGCTTATTTCCAATCTCATGTTTTTCAAACAGTTAATAAATGTTATGAATCTCGAGAGACGCAGAGAATCACACAAGGTGCAATATAACTTCGCCATCCCAGAGAGACAGATTAGGATTTATAAACTCACCAACTGCAAGGATAAGAGTGAAGGGAATGAATATTGAATGTATGAGGGGCATGCCAAAACAGAGCTAAAGGTGGAAAGTCTGCAACATATAAATCAAATTTGTCTCTTGGTGGATAGATCCCATTGCAAGAACCCCCAGATACTGGATGTTCCAACTATCTTTGCTGCAGCGTTGTATGTAAATAGGTGATGGGGAAAGTGATGGAATGGTGTCAGATCAGGCTGTGGCTTGGTGGTGGTAGTAGGAAAGGAAGGCTTCAAGAGGAAAAAATAAATCATTGCAGAATGAAAAGAACAATGAAAGCATTGATAGCAGAAGCTAGCTAGTACACGTGTCATTTTGCAACTGAATTCCTGAAATTTTCAAAGCGCTTCAGGATCCTCAACAGCTGAGAACTGGATTGTAAAATATGGATTGGCAGTTTCATTGCCACGTGGCAGACCCCTGGAGGTAGCTGAAGTGTCAAATATAAAAAGTGAACATCCCCTTTATGTAGACCTATGGCTGGAGTCTCCAACAGTAGGAATCAACATTAAGTTAAATAAAGAGTTTAGGGCTAGTGAAAGACTTACATGATCCCATACTCCTCCTAAATTTAAGGGTGGAATTGGGGTTGCTCAGAGTTGCAGCAGGCTGCAGCAACTCATGAAGACACGAGCAGAGGTGCACTGGCCCAGGGCTTTGGGCTCGAAGAGGCAGAGCTCAGCCAGCAGCTGAAGTCAAAGCTACACCTAATGCCATACCGAGGTTTGCAGAAACGCTGTCAAGTTCCTGCTCAGGTTTAGGGAAAGAAGAAAAAGAGATTATAAGAACATTTGTTATGGAAAGAGACATAGTCTGAGAGGGAAGTGAATGGTGATAAATGAACCTAGTATGAAGGGCGATGGAGCAACCTGCTTGCAGATCTGCAGGAGGATGAGTACTAAATAGTGTAGATTTTTAAAGATAAACCAGAAGAAAATGTAGTGAGAAACCCAGTTTTAAGAAGCAATGCAGCTGACTTCCCAGCTGACATACTGCTTCCCATGCAACAGGCACAGAAACATCGGAGTACGCGGAGACAACAGAAAAATCTCAAGAGGGAAGGAAACAACAGACTTTATATACTATGTGTGAGCATTTGTATAAAACCCAAATATCTTCATTTAATAACATGATTTCCTATAGGTCAGTAATGAGATGAAATATTTAAAAAAAAAGATGGAGCTTGAAATGAGGTGTACTCTCGTTAGACAATGCCAATCCTGATGTAGAGATGAGTGGTTCAATATTTTCTAGTGCCCAGTGTTTAGAGAAATCGCAGTGTGCCGCAGCAGTGCAGCCGAGCGTGTGGTCAGCGGGGCTGCGGGGTTCATGGCTGAGGAACTCCTGGGAGAGGCTGGAGTTGAGATGGAGCAGGGACAGTGCCCGGGCTTTCGATGCCCACAGAAGTGGGCTTTATCTTCATCTGCAGCAAGTTTTGAAAGCTTACAAGTTTTGAGTGATCTCAGTTGTAAATCAGATTATATCCACAGAGCTATGTCCTTAAGGAAACACTCTTGTTTCTGTGATGAAGAAGCGAGAGAGATTATTCCTTCCTATTAGAAGAGCAGCTAAAGATGGTAATTTTTTAATCCCCTTTTTAAAAAACCTCAGAGAGAGCAGACCTTTTTTTTTTTGTTTGTTTTGTTTTGTGATTTGGTTTTGTTACATCAAAGAGATTATCTTGAGCAACACAGATGGACTTTGAATAGATTCTCTGGAATACTGCAAGGTTTGGGGATTCAGAAACTGCCAGAATCTGAAAATTGCATAGAAAATATAGGATTTGTAGGATTGATTGTTAATTGGCCTGCTTTAAGGAATGGGTGTTCTGCCTTGTAGGCTGAAAATCAGCAAAGCCAAATTTGATTATATCTAGAAAACCACACATGGAGATTTAATATCTTTGATCATTTTTATTTTTGTCACGAAACTATGCCAAGGAATAACTCTTGATTTCAAGCTAAAACATACTTTCTATAAAAAAGATTTTATTCCAATAGGAATAGCATATTTTATTTAAAATAACCATTTTTTAAATGTAGACTTTTCAATAAATATCTTTAAAAATAGAAGCTGTTAGTTTTCCCATTGATAATCTCAATTTTTTAATGTTCGTTGGGCTCACACTTTAATATTTTTCCAATACACTTGAATAATCTGTTGCAACAAAACTAATGTAGGTACTTGACTCGTTCTTTAATCTTATTTTTAGGCATTTAAGTAAGGGACTGAACCTTAAAAAATGCTGATTACTCAGAACTTCGACTCAGAACTTTTATTGCCTTATGAAACTCACACCAAGCCTCTAAACAAACGTTTCCAGTAGAGAAATACCAAAAAAATGCAGGGCACTTATATAGGGGAATTTCTGATGTTCACAAATGACGTCCTATGGTCACTTCTTATTAGTGGAAAGTTAAAATCTATAGGCCATTTCCCCACCCTCTCTTGCTCAATAAAAATGTAGCCCCATGTTTATTTTCTTCCTTGTTAAACAGTGGTTCCGTATAACCCTGTGTAATAGAAATCCAGCGCTCAGTGTTCTCTTTGACCCCTGTAGTGTACTAAGGGAAGCCAAACGGAATAGCCTGACCCTTGATGAAAAATAAAATAGAGCATGGAAATAAAAATGGACAGGATCACACTTGGGATGAAATTAATGGTTTTAAAATCAAATTATTTTTTCTATGCCTTGTCTGACCTTGCTCCAATCTGAAGTATAAAGGGGGAATATTTTTTTTTTTTTTTTATTTCATGGTGTGCTGCCTGGACTGTTGGTGGTTGCAGAATTATGCATTGATAGAAGCAGTGTTTGGAGATGTACTGTAGGAAACTTAGTCTCCTTTATCTCGTCTTTTGTGTATTTACACCATAGTCTTCGTAGACATGGATAGCAACTCATTAGTTGTTAATTAGGAGAAGGAAAGAGGGATCCTATTTCATGGTTTTCCAGGGTGCTTGGGGATGTATTTTCAACCAAACTCAGCCAAACTTCCCTCTTGCACTAATTTAGGGGTTTCTTTTAGTTATTTCACATTAATTATAGCAGAAACTATCTGCTCTTTCATTATAATTATTTGGTAGTAACAATAAAAGATGAGATGAAGGCATTAGCTGCATTATTCTGTGAAATAAAGAAACAAATTTTCTCTCACAGAAGGAAACTACCCAAGCCCACTGCCTACGCTGTGGTTTAAGCAAGCTGCCCATGTCAGTCCCCCTCCCTGAATCAGAAAATGCATTTCAGGCAAATAAAATGTCACTCTAGTTTCCTGCAAGTCTTGAGAGCCACGATTTTATTTAGCTGTAAATTTACTGAAGAAAGATTCCTTTAATATTTTATTACTCTAGTGGATTAAGCCTTGTATAAATCAACAAATTAGCAGTCACACTGTATTTGCGTTCAGAGGAGCGCTAGGGAAGGTGAAGGCAAGATTACTCCTTCCTGGCAGGCTGACCAAACTGGAAAGCTAAATTGAATGACTTCAGCACGCTTAGAGAAATGCAGAAGTGAGGTGAAGATGATAAATAATACATGCTGACTGCAGTTAAGGCAGGTGCAAAATAGGAGGATTTTTATTCTTCTTTGAAGTTTTCTTTTTCTCCCCTTTTGGTGTGGATCAAAGACTTCTCAGGTTTTGGGGAGTTCTTTAGGAACTCAAAATCTGTGAGACAATGACCTTCATGCAATTTTTTCTGCCCTAATACACATACCTATAGGCAGATTTTCAGGGGTTGCTTGCTGTAGCTGGCCAAAAAAGAAAAATCCAATATCTTTAAAGTATTCAGAGGTGCTATGCCTTCTCGTAATTTTTCTAGTTTTCTTTTGTTTACATAAATAATTTAAATCAGAAAAGAAGTGCAGATAGATGAAAACAGGTGCTCCAAGTGTGGAGTGGGCTTTGGAGACTGATTTGAAGCAGAAGCAAATGGTCCTTGGCATCTTGCAAGCAGGCTGAAAGGTTTTATTGTACTTTCCACCCACCAGTTTGGTGATCTTTGGTGTGATGGCAGAGGGAAGGGCTCTGTGGCCAGAGTGGAGCCAACGTCCTCCGATGAAATGCTGCTGCTGTATTCCACCCTGCTGTTATAAACACAGCGTGAACCCATACGTCTGAGCCTGTTGCCAATTCAGTTTTTTGAGATCCAAAATCAGAACGGCACCTTTGGGAGAGAAAACCTGAGAATGAGGTGTGCTTACAACACATGAAAACATTTGAAATACTTTTAAAAATTCAAGCCTTAAGGCAACTGGTTTTCTGAAAACAGTATCCTACAGTTGGTAGTTTAGAAAATTAATGCAAAAACACCATCTGCTAAACTTCAGATGTATGAATACTATTTGGTCTACAGAGAGTACAGACTGTACAGGAAACTATTGATCCCGCATCTGCTTCAAAATGATCTTTTAAGAATTTCTCTCACTGAATCAAGTACTACATTAGTAACATCACATTGTACAGAGCACAGCATCCCAGTTGCTCTTAGAGGAGCAGTAAGTAGGAATGTACTTCTGTCATCCTTCAGCCACCATAACACAGAGAAGTGCACTTGGCTTCCTGCGTGTTTATGTCCTGTGCAGACAAGAAAACATGGTATAAACCTCAGCTAAAGGCTCTTGTCTCCAGATAGCATGGGTTTGGATGTGTGCGTTGTCAGATATTCCCGAGGGTTGACCACACCTTGCGGAGAGGTAGCATCCTTCATATCATCTGTCTCCTAATTAATAATTAGATAATATCCAGATGGTTAACCATGAGAGGTCTGTTTTCTGTTACTGTATTTCATGCAGCGCTTGTCCCTGAGTGCATTGGGGCTGAGATTTGTATTCTGAACCTTCAGCCATAAGACAAATACTCCAACTTCAACTCAAGCACCGACTGAGGGAGGTGTCTTCCTGAGCACAATGTGCCTGATTTCAAAATCCAGCCCTTCTTTATATGCAAATCCCACCGAATTTCTAGACATATTCACTGACCCTCTCTTGGGTAACCATCAAATGTCTAGCATCATGTTCTGAAAAGTAGGAGAAAATATGTCCTTTCTGCTTCCTTGTAGCAAATTGTCTATGATTAGGCCTGTTAAAGAATAGTCAGTGCAAAATAAGCAGAAAATAATTTGCAGAAGTATTTCCCCCTCAAGAATTCTCTGAGTGCCTGTATTCACAAGATAAGTAGACGCTTAAGTTGTGTAACTTAGAGGAATACTATTTTATTGTTGTACCAAAAATTACTTGGGTTTAAAAATGCTAGGTATTTTTGTTACTTTTCTTCTCCTGGAATAAGCACAGAAACAAAATTACCAGATTTTCAGCAAAACTTCAGGTTAATTCTTATTTTGAATTTCCAACATTTTACGCGGTGAATGTTGGCTTAACCTAACAGTAATGCCAGCATAAACCCAGAACTCCAGTTTTCCAGCTTTTTGGGTCAGCATCCACGTTAGTTCTCATAATTTCTTAAGGACATCATGCAGTCTTATCATGGAGCATTAAATTAAAAATACCCAAAGGGCATTTTGTCTCGGTGGACCAGATAAGGTTTCCAGCAAGGGCTGTGCAGGCTGTCAGTAACCTGTGAACCCTAGCTCAGGAAATGGTGATGTAGAATATCCGTCATTCCTCCGAAGATTCACAGCCCCTTTTGCAGATCAAATTGGCTACACTCCATATTGAGTTCCATTTATAAATTAAAGGTTAATATATTAGTGTTAGCAGTGATATATTTGTTCATCAGCGAGCCAATTGCTATACAGCCCCACTGCTTCAAAAAACAATTATCACTGTGACTTGCAGTCAGCTCTAAAACTTTCTTTTGTTGTATTTAGGACGATGTCTAATGCATAACACTCGTGTCTGTAGGATACGTATATTCACTGTTAATCACTTTTAGACTTTTTATGAGTAACTTATAAAAGGAGCCTGTTCTTTTGTGCTTTCCTTGGGAGCCACTACCAGTCACTGATGGCGATGGGTCCCGGGCTAGAAGGGTTCGTAGTTCAACTTGTTCCCCTGTGGTTTTGCCCAGGTTCAATGCTGGCAGTGAGAGGTTAGTTCTCTTAGAGCACACACACTTAAACTGAGCCATTTAGTTTAAATTCTTTGGTTCTTGTACCCTCCAACCCCCTGACAAGAGCAAAAGGCAGTTTGTTACCCCAGCCATTGGCTAGCTAGGATTTGTTTTTACTTAATCCCAAGGGAGAGCTGGTAGACTTTTTTACAATAGTTTGATAAGTTACATGTTGCAAAATTTTGCACATTGCATTCTGTCTTTCAAAATCCATGGTGTGCAGATCCCACACTGGCACATTTCTCCTTGCAGTCATTCTAGGGTTGAGCCAGGTTTTCTAAAAGCTCTGTAGGGAGCACAGGTGCTAATTTCAGCCATTCCTTGTCTTGACGAATGTCAGGTGGATGAACCCAGACCCGTGTAATGTTGGGAGAGTAGAAAATTAAGATCTACAACTGTGGTTACAGCAGGGAGAGTCAAAGAGCTCTTCTCAGATACCTTTGTGTTTTCTGCTGCACACCCAAGGCGTTTGTTTTTCCAGTAATGAAACACTAATCAGGACTTGAAGCCATCCATTTGAACAGGTGTAAATAGTAAATAAAGGGCCCAAAGTACCGCACCCCATGAAAGTGTTAAAAGAGAATACGGTTGATGGTTCCACTTAATCAGAAACTGTGAGAAATTAAATGTTGTGAAATGCTTATAAGCCTAGGGACTGGCGTGCTCAAAGACAATTAGCAACTAAACATTTCATTAATGAAATAATTATTAATTATAATTACTAATTAAAATTCAGGATTATGGTGTTGGGTTTAAGCGTTAACAGGAGTAATGACATTACCATTTTTAATGACATTCCAATAATGAAAATCATAATACAACTTAAAAAAATAGGTACAGGCAACAGCAAGATTAGGAGTTATTGTTAAGCCCAGAGGCATAGAATTTTCCCAGCTGGTGAACTTAAGTTAAGTAAGTTTAATGCACTGTAATTTAATTACTAATCATAGTTTTTCTTCACAGTGGGAATTGAAAAAAAAATATTTTACGAGAACAAAAGTCAGAATTTGAATACCTGCTCTGTGATGGGTGATGACATTGTGCTATGGGCTACAAATAAAACAATATTTTGCAGACTTCTGCATAGTATGTGGATTTAGCTATATTAGAGTATGATTTAAATATTAATTAATTAATGATTACTGGATTAGAAATGAAGTAGCCCCTGTAGATTTTTGTAATACAAGTATAGTGCAGCCTTTGTGGAGAGCATACTCAATACAATTTTGTATATATATTAAATATATCTTCTTTGAATAATTCATACAGGGGCATATTAGTAAATGTCAAATTCCCACAAGAAGATGGAATTTGACCTACATTAATAAAGCTATTTAGGATTCATTAATTGTAGACAAATTTCTTAAACTATTTGCTATTACTCACCTTTTCATGCATAATGCAATGTGTTGGCTTAAATACAATTCCTGATTTACATACTGTTGGCTGCGTTGCCCTTCTTGCTATTCACTGTTTGACTTCTTTTAACCTGGCTGACTTATAGGTCCTCTTAGTAATTTGCTGTCTTGTGAAGTTCTCAAATGTCAAGGTCAATCAGAAGTCGTGTCACAGTTGGTTGTAGCTGAGGAATGAATTAAATTTCACTTTTTCCTCAATTTTCTGGGACAATACAGAAGGATTTAATGAAACTATTGTAATGAGAGACCTGACTCATGTTTCCCTTGATGGCGAGGGATTATTACATTGACATCACTGATGGAGGAAGGCACATCCTAAAAAAGGAGGTTTGGTTCAGTTGGATGTGAACGTAAGGAATAATAACAAATCTGAATTTTTACCACCACTTAGTAATACATTTATAATTCTTCAAGATATGGAAGCTACATACATGCTACACATATGTAAGTTCAAAGAAAATTTGCCTTGAGGGATAAAAGGCTTTTTATTGTTATTTATTTTTATAATTAGCTCTTTGTGTTCCAAAGAGATACTACATCCAAGACTGAGCAAATCAGCCCAGAACATGCCTGAGGATGGACAAGTAGATACACAAATGGCTCTGTAGGTTGCATGTGAACCCAATCCAGTGAAAGGGTCGATGCGGTGGCAGCTCAGGAATATTAAAATCTGATCATTAAACCAGTCTTTAGCTCTCCGGGCAGTTTTGGGCATACTCAGGCAGCAGACGGGCTTACAGATGAGCCATTCGCTAAATGAAGTTTGATATGATGTTCCTGTGGGACAGGCTATGTTGTGAGTTGCTACCTTAAATGAATGGTGATGTGAAAGCCCCAGGTATACTCTGGAAGACAGGTTTTTGAGGAATGATGCTTCCTTCTTGTGTTTGGAAAGTAATCAAATCTTCCTGAGAGCAATGGGCTTTCAATCAAAGCCGCGTATGTTTGTCTTGGAGTGTTAGAGAGATCCTGTCCCAAGAGAAGAGAACCAAACCTTAATTTCACCATTAATGCTTTTTTCTTTTTTTCATATTTTCTTTTTTTTTTAATGTTTGTATCCTAGGTAAAATTCCAATCAACAAACTAATTGTTGTTGTGATTTCTGGAGGTAATTAATTTGAGGTAAACTTTGCACATTGCCAGCTTTTCCTCCTGGTGGTGCTGCGAATATTGCCACTGTGCTGTTTTGCTCTTTCAAAAAGACCCAGAAACTGAGCATCTGTTACCATAATACAATATCCCCCATATTGTTACGATACGTGGATAGGCAGCAAAGGAAGCCCAGTTTTGCAAACTAGGCTTCTA